AAAAAAAATTGAATACAAGATTCTGGCTCTCTACTGAGATGTATTTGTAGATGAGTCAACAGCTTTTTATGGTAGCCCCTTAGTAGGTGTAATTAAGACACTGATCCTAACAAACAAAGCCCAATACCTATGAAGTACATATGTGAATGCAACAGAAATTTACAATATATGAACTTACTGGATTGCAAATTGTGCTCCTGTAATGCTCAAAATATAAAATTGAGTTGGAAAGCACTACTGTTAGAGGCTTAAGTCTTTGGGAGAAAAAGAAAGCCCAGTAGTCAAATAAATTGAACAGTGTAAGCTATGCTTTAATAGGGTTTACATACAGCAGAGGTGCAAGTGTGTGTTTTCCTTAGGTTGGCCAGGAAAGGCTCCTACAGCACACTGAGTCTTACAAGCTGCACAGGAGACCCTCTGGGGAGGAAGTGGCACAGATGGGGTGTGAAGGCAAGGGCGCCGCTGTGACATGGAAGAAGCTGAGCTGCTCAATGCATCCTGTGCACTAAGGACTACAAAACCTGCTTTCCACGTTCTTACTGAAGTCCTCCACCCTCACAGGAAAGTCTCATCAGTTTTATTACTGAAATTTCTACCATACATCTTTTGTCAGTTTTACTGTTTACACAACCACATAAAATCACTGACTCTAATTGAATTAAAGATTTCAGTATCAGCTGGGTGTGGGAGCCACACCTGTCAATGCAAGTACTTGGGAAACTGAGGCAGGAGGATCAACTCAAGTTCAAGGCTGGCCTGGACCAGAGTTCAAGGTCAGTCTCGACTACAGACACCGCACTGGTTGATACACTGAGAAGTTTAAAAGTTTACTTGACTCAGCAGGGAGCTAGGTTCTTACTTTGTAAACATCCTCATCCTGTGCAAGAGGGCAGGGACACTGTGTGAGTTCTACACCACACCCCAGGGGAAGCTTGCTTATAACGTGAGGGAAGAGAGGCTTGCTAGAAGCCACAGCAGCTGCCCCTCCCTTTGCTCTCTGCCATGTGCTACTCTGTCTTGGGGCCAGCCAAGTAGGGACTGAAACCTCCACTAACTGTGAGTTAAATAAACCTTTCTTTCCTTCATTTAGGATGTCAGGTATTTCGTCCCAACAATGAGTGAAAAGTAACCAAGATAGGGACCTCGAACAAGCAAAAAAAATGCAACATCATCCTTTAAATATGATTCAGGACAATTTGCATGACAAAGGATTTTAATCTAAAAGCAGCAACTGTTCAGTGGGCTGAGCACCAGGCTAGAATCCTATTATGGCTACTCACATAACCATGACACTGATCTAGGGCACTCAGCTGTCGGGAATCTGAGTACCTCACACCTTTCAAAGCTTAATGACGCGTGCCTGAACTCGACCTCAGGATGGTCTGATTCCAAAGTCTTATAATATCCACTGTCGACAGAGTCCTCCCAAAAGCACACTGTTGAGGTTCTCTGCATAAGAATAATTATCTCAAATACCTTTTGAAGCATGTGTTTACAGCTAAGAAGTATGGAGAAAAGCTGCTCTTACAGATACATTAGAGAAACACACAAGTCAGGGCTTAAAGGTCAAAATGAGTACCTCACATATGGAGGCACGAGGCTCCTCAGGTGTTCCCGCTTCTTGTGTTACACGGAAGACTTGAAGACACAAAGGCAGGCCTGTCTGACGCAAGATCTTTCATACTGTTTTTTGGCGGAACCGGGGACTGAACTCAGGCCCTTGTGCTTGCCAGGGAAGCGCTTATTCCACTGAGCCATCTCCCCAGCCCCACATTAAGATCTTTCAGAGCAAAAATTTGAACTGACAAAACTGGAAAGATTAGAAACTGAATTCCTGTACCTCAAAATGTTGGCTTTTTGTTTTTGTGGTACCGGGGATTGAACTCAGGAACTTGTGCTTACCAGGCAAGCACTTATTCTACTGAGCTATCTCCTCAGCCCCCAAAATGTTACAGGAATGTGCTGAGAAAGATCCAAGCTTCATTTCTGAAATCATGTACTGTATTTTTTTATTGATGTATAGTTGAGAGACAAAGGCATTCCCCCCCAAGTATTTAAATCAAGATATATTTTGGGGAGGGTACTAGGAATCATATTCAGGACCTCATTCTTGCCAGGTAGGTCCTAAGCCACTGAGCTAAATCCCCAGCCAAGAGTACATGTTTCCTAAGACTAGCCTTTTCTAGATAAACTACCGTGAACATGTCCACATACATGGGTACATGTGCTAAATATAGCACACCAAATAAGTATGTACACAGCTTTTACATCAAGGTAACCTGCTTCATCAGAGGGGCACATTAATATCACAGGTAGGAACCTAGGCAGACTAACCTAATTTAATTTCATGATTTTAAATGATTTAAGTGATGAAGTGCTGATGGTTTAATGACTGTGATATACAGTGATGTGACTCTGTAAATCATACTTATACATAAAAATTAATCATAGTATTCATTATACAAACAGTAAGCAAAAGAAAATTTATGACAAAACTGAATTCTTGAAATGCCCCTTGATACAACAGATTACAAATTGTATTAATGAAAAATATTTAAATATGGCTAGCTTTTTTATGTATTTAGTACAGGGTCTATAGGTCTCACTACACAGATTGGACTTGTAGTGATCCTCTTGCTTTCAGCCTCCCAAGTGCTGGGATTACAGCTGTGTGCCACCATGCCTAGTCTCAATGCCGTCTCAGCGTGCCCCAGGGGCAGGGTTGGCATGGCAAGCCCAGTCCTGCATCTGCCTAAGCAGGTGTTTTAATCTTCTGAGCTATCTGGCTGGCTCTATACCTGTATCTTTTTTGAGGCAGAAACTGCAAGATGATCTCAAAATGTATTTCAGGGATGCCTACCTCGTGCTTATGCTGCAACCCTCAGGCCATCCAAGATTATCATCAGTGCCTCAATTTGAAACATGAAGACAAACAACTCTCATACAAAATATGAAGAGTTCCCAAGAGAAAATAATTACATCATCACACAAAGTCTTTAGAACATTATATTTCATAAAAGACAATGATAAAAAAGTACAAACATTTCCATGAGAAGCAAAAGAAAAAATGAGAATACAAGAAATTACTAGCATTTATTTCAGTGCATTTATGTAGAAGCCTTTCTTAATAAAATAATCTTGAGTACACTTCCTTTCTCTGATAAACACTACAACCATTTTAGTTCTCAGCCAGCATACTTACAAATCCAAGACAATAAATCTAGAGGTCTACTGGCCTGAAAATCACACAGAGAAACATAACAGAACAAGCAAGGCCAAATAAAATGACAAAAAAATTGTCTTGGCAGCAGCCAAAAAGAAAATACTGTATTAGATATATTTGTCCATTTTGCATTAAAATGGATATCAGTGTTATGTCTAATAGTGTAAGTTTTTAAGATATAATTTTATATTTCTGTATTATAAATAAGGTTTTCCTACTGAACACCTTTTTGCAAAATATAATCAGAAATTTAGATTTTTAAAAAACATCCTCATTGAACCCTAGTTTGGACGAAGTAAATGACTATCTTATTGTGAATGAGACATGATGTCACAACGAATGCACGTACACAGTCCCTCTTCTTGTCTACAAGCAGGCTCTTTAATCATTACTTCTTTCTTAAGTTGAAAGACACGAATGTTCCCATTGGTATGGCAGGAACTTCTTGACCTACATCCACATAGATAATCGACTTGAAGACTAAGGAGTACAATAGATACCTCAACAGAGGATGAATTCATAATTACAGAAAGATTTCACCTTCTTGACTTGATGTGTTTAGAGATGAAGTAAGAGTTTTAAATAGACATGCCCAGCATTGCACATGATACAGGAGGTGATCGACAGACATTAATAAATCCACTAAATTTACTATAAGACTCTCTGCAGTTGAAATGTATTTGTTAATATTCAGGGAATAGATTGTCATTCAACTGGGAAAATGCTGTCATTTACAGAAACATGTAAGTGTTTCCATTTATGACCAAAATAATTTTAGGTCTGTACTTAAAAAAAAAAAAAAAACCAGCAAACTGGTGTGGTGGTTTCCACAGGATAACATACCATAGTCAAAAACTGCAAAAATGCAAGATACTTACATTCTACTCCTAAAATAATAAGGCAGATACTAGTAGTACTGAGTTCTTTTGAAACAGTGAAGTATACATCAAGATAAGAACATTCCAAACGTGGATAAGTCATTAAAATAAGAAACGTTTTGATACCCTAGGAAGACTCAGAAACCTTTCCCCCACACCCCACAATTTAATATTCTTGGGTAATGCTCTCATCCTTCTAATATCTTGCTAGCGATCAACAAATATTACCCTTCTACTCTGACTTCATCGAATTGAACTATGTTGGCTGTGAGACAAAACGAACAGATACACAAATTAAATA